AAAAAAAGGATCTTTGATGTGTGTTCACAAGTTCGAAACTCGACTCCAAGAAAATTAGGATCTTTTCCTTTACCGTTAAACTGTTGATAATGGATTTGATCAACCTAAATCTTTAAATTTATTGTAGGTTACCAGTGATTAAAGCGGTACAAACAGGATCTAAATGGAGGATTTTCCTGAAATAAAGTTTTATTAAGATCAGATTCTCCAGTCTTATGCGGTCGAAAATTGTCTTAAATGTGGTGTTCGATGAATGTAATAATATTATTACAGTGCATTCAATTGGTATGGAAAACCAAAGCCCCTAGCCCCCACCCCCCCCTCTCTAAGTGGATTCTTATGACTATTTATAGTAGAACATGCCCAACGATTGTTCACCTGGTCATACCACTTTAATATTGAATGACCAACATTTACTGTCGACATGCTACTCTATAAGTGTAGGAACCATAGGCCTACAGCGGCAACGTGTCCGCCCCATAGGCCATCATTTGGCTGCGAGTTGGGTTATTATATAATATGTTTCTCCCTCTAGTACCCTGGGAATTCCAAATAGAACTTTGAATTCAGACATTCTGCGATGCTCTCCGGCTGATCTGTTTCCACGGAGCCAACCTGGACTTCATAGAGCGGGGGATCCGACCTGAATTCCCCTCATGTAACTCCAATCCTTCGACTCCTGACATGTTGAGGTGGTGAGATTGGAACTACGTTTCACAGTTTGACACCTTGTTTGGGCGAGGAATCAGACTCGCGATCTTTCTTTCCACGGTAGTCCACTTAGACCCAATTAATTCTAGAACTCCTCGTTTTCCAACTCGGATATCAACAGATAGATAGATAGATAGATACAATAGATAGGTACATGAGATCAGGAAAAAGAGAGATTATTTCTTGAATTCATTAAGTACAATAGCAAACTTCATCATTGTTCGAACAGGAAAAATGCAAGACGTTATCCCAAGTAGAATTGCAAACTCAATTTTATACGTTTTTGTTATGGAACAATTGGATGACACGAGCTATGAATCATATCCAATTGTTAACAAATAGTGTATTGACACGTTTCCTCCAATAAATACACTCTGGACATATATCAGTGCACTAAGTTATGAATGACTCCATAAAGGAGTCATGCTCCATATAATTTCTGCAATTTTATATAAAGGACAGAAAATTAATTTGGAAAGGATGCCAACTCTAACAGTTCCTAACAAATTGCTGCTCATACACAATTACAGAGGACGTCGCAATTTTAATTTCACAACTGTGCATGCAAAAAAAGTTATAAACACGTAATTCCACTATAAAGTCAACTATTTGCATCCAAACCATAATACAAATAAATGAAATATGATCAGACGACATGAAAATTTTAACCAAGTCTACTATACCAAATAAGACCAGCTCAGATTTGTTTCATATATGCATAATGGTTCAAAAATTTGATGCAATCCTCACTCCTCAGTTTTGTAAGTGCAGATTTTTCTTTTCTTCTAATCCACTCTTTGCTGACCCGAAAAATTCTTCCGATTTCGTCAAGCGACTTGCGTTGATTATTTCCTAGTCCGAATCTTAGGATTATAACCTGCTTCTCTGTTGGCCCCAAGCCGTTCAAAAGAGTGTAAAGATCCTTTATCATTTGTTGTCTGATAAAACTCTCTTCTGGACTTAATATTGACTTATCAGGTGTAATCTCCTGTTAGATAGTCGGAAAAATTATATTTAATAATTATTACGGCCATAAATCCTACAACAATCGCCATTCTGAGTTCAAGAAGAAACACTGATAAGCTAGATGATTGTTGATACGCTAGCTTATAGCTTATCAGTAATTTTTGAGCTTATAGCTTATGACTTATAGCTGAAAAACTAGCTTATATAATAAAAGTGTTAAGTAAAATTAGCTAATAAGCTAGCTGGGATAAAAATTTCAACGGGCTTATCTGAAAAGCTACTCAAAGAAGCATATGAGATAAGCTGGAGTATTTTAGAAAAGCTCGTCCTACCAAACGAAACTTATTTAAATACTGGAAGCTTATAAGCTAACCAAATAAGATATAAGATAGCTTATTTGTCTACCACATAGCCGTTGTATTAATGTATCATTTTTTGCACAAAAAAAAAAAAAAGTTCAGTGTAAAGACAAACGAAAGAGTATTTAATTACAAATATGAAAGATGATAAGTTTTAGTGATCAGGCCAAACCTCAAGAGTAGCTTTCGTAATCAACGGAAAATGTATAACTTGAGGCTTACCATATAATCCACGTTGATGCCCTCGCCAATTTTATGATCTATTGATCCCACGACCCTGAGGCATTTGTTAGCTGACTTAATCTTCGCCATGGATAGACCAGTAAAACGGGCAATTTCAGTGTCATCTGGATATTTTCCATTGCTGGCACAAAGGGCCTTCCGTGCCTTCTGCACTTGATTTATTGTCATGCTTAATGTGCACTGCACCATGAAAAATAGAAAATCTTTGGACACTCATTTTTTGTTTCTCAACAAAAACGCCGAACGTTGGAAAATAAGGAAAAAAAAAAAAAAAAGTGAGGCGTACAGGAATTCGGACTCCTCTGCCATGTTTCGCAACTAATGTTGACATAGATTTTCTAATCCAATACTGAACGTAGGTCGAAAATTTGTATCCTCTTGTTCGATCAAACCTTTCTGCACCTTTCAACACACCCATACTTCCTGCCTGTACAGAATCACGACAAATAAAAGTTTTGATAACATGATTACTTGTCCTCTGTGACCTTGAGTGATGACTTCATTTTAGGTGCTCAGATAATCAGGGAATAATTACAAAAACGAACCGGCTAAAATAAGTTACTGGAAAACATAAATTACATTTACATTTTACAAATACCCTCTTAGGAATCATATTTGTTTGAAAATATAACCCTCCCAAGAGTGTGTGATTCATACAATAGTGAAATTAGAAGTTCTGTTTTTCTTGGTAAGTAGACTAAAACCTTAAAGGTGTTTCATGTAGTTAAACACATAGCAATTCTGATCAGCTCTTCATATATTGGGCTTCTTCAGTTATTCTTGTATACTTTTGTCCATAATACTTTCACAAGCACATACGTAATTGACTAAGACCAGTTCAAAAAAAATTTCCACCCGCTAGAAGAAAAAAAAAAAGAGAAAACAAGATTACCAGAAATGAGAAGGAAAAAAGAACAGAAGAAAGAACCTGAACTAGATCTTCAAAGGGTACCCCAAGACCCCAATAGTTTTTGGAGATAAATATAACCAACGAGCGCGTGCTTTTCAGTAGCTCATCTCTACAATACCAGCCATAATGCAAATGCTGTCGCAATTCATTCTTTTCAAACCCAGCAACTTTTGCCCAATCACTCGGGCTAGCTATTTGGCCAGTTTCATCTTCTAGCATCACCCTGAGTTTTTCCAATTTTGCAACCATCTGTCAAGTAAAATTGAAATTTAATATAAAACGAGCTATCCTGCTGATGTAATCAAATATTTTATAACCTACAACTTCAAAAGTTACATTTGCGTTTTGAGGTCTAATCCAATTACAAAGGGAGAAATGAATATCTTTCAAGATACAAACACCCATCTAACTCTGTGTTTTTCTAACAAATGCTTCCAGAAAAAACAGCTTCAAAGAAAATAAACAAACTTCATGGGGTGCTTGTAATTTTAAGCTATACCTCCAACTTTTTATAGTGAGGGTAAGCCTCAGGAGCGATATTCGTAATAATGCTGTATTAAATAAGCAGAAAACACATTTTTCCATAACAGAACCTGGACAGACCTTTACTCCACTGGACATATCTGCCTCTATCCGAGCAATATTCGATCTTGGACTTCTACCTCTCTTTCTACTCGGCAGCCCAAATTTCAGCTCCAGAACTTCCCTTGAAATGGAGTCCAACCGTTCACCTTCCTTCTTGATTTTTTTATTTCTTCTCAATTTTCTCATCTCTTTTTTCCCAGATTGAATGAACAACTTGCCCACACGATCACTTATTCTGTGCTCGCCAACAATAATCTCATCATGTGCATTACACAAATTAGAATAAGTTGAGGACTCGAGAGTCCTGGATAGACATGAATGGAAAAACCTTAGAGCTCCAAGTCTTTCTAATTGTTCCATAATGTCCTTTTCCAACCTTGCGTCATTGGAATATGCAAACAGCTCTTCTAGCTCATCGAGATTTTTCATTAGCAATCCGTATTGTGATGCTTGGCTTGATTGCAAGCTAGTTAGGTGCGCCTGTTTATCCTCGATTTTAGAGATTTCATTGTCTTTATCAAGTAAAATGTATAAATCATCACCGGAACCATTCCCAAGTGCCACCTGAATAGATAGAATATATATACATGTTGAAACTCTTCAGGGAGAACTACAAACAAGTGCTTGCAAATGGAAACACATAAACAACTTATCCTGAGCACTTACCAAAAGCTTAAACTTAATGGAAACAGGATTGCATAGTATAAGCGGAAGGTGGCCGATAATTGGAAATTTGGCAAATTTTGCACATAAAAGCTATAAAGCCAATAATTATCATAGTGCTTTTATTTGAGTGAATAAATCTTTCTGAACATATAATCGAATCAATGCAGAATCCGAGGTAGAAGACGACATTCGAAAAGGCTACAGATTGTCATCCAAGTATTTTCAAAGTGTCAGCAAACACTAGCCAAAAGCTTATGCCAAAAAAGTACCCTGCAACTATCTCCTTAGTATAAAAACAATATAGAAACAAAGTTACCTTCGATTCTCCAGCTCTCAAGTAATAGTCTTCCAGAAGTTGAGGTGAAGACGAGCAAATACGTTCTCTTGAATCATCGTTAAGCATTTCTGCCTCGCCATACAAAACCGATGCAGCCGATAATTTATCCCAGCAGTAGGAACTATCCCTCTTCATACCTTTATAGTTTGAGCATACAACAACAACAACAACAACAACAACAACAACAACAAAGCCTTTTAGTCCCGAACAAGTTGGGGTAGGCTAGAGATGAAACCCAAGAGAAACGGTGGTAAGAAACACAAAAAAAGTCTCAAAACAAAACAAAACAAAACTCAAAACAAAAACAAAACAAAAGAAAGAGACTGGAGCAAAAGAGAAAGGAGCAAAAGTCACGATTCCGGCACGTTGACCTTTATAGTTTGAGCATAAGACAGAGGAAAATATTTTCAAAAAAATTGAGCAAACATAGATCATATGCAAGCAAATCATACAGATGAAGAAGAAAACACCTAAAATATCAAGAAAAATAAAATATAGAAAACAGCAAAAAATGGGGAAAAGAGGACTCACAAGAAAATGATGTTGGCCAAGATGAAGTGGTTGTGGAGAGCGGAGACTGAACTGAAAGGCCACACCATTTGAGGTTGAGCCTGAAACCCATTTTTAGCAGAAAATTTGTACAGTTTGTTGAGGAAGAATCAAGGGAACTTAAGCATAAAAAATGTACTTTTACAACTATGAGAGCCACTGATTCCACATCTTCAGCATAAGGTCAATTACCTCTCACACGTTTCCTTTATATTTGTTGTTGTATGTCGCATACAATTTACTCCTTTATTCTATTTTTATTTTTATTTGTCGAATAGAAAATGTTACAAATACATAAGAAATGTAAATAAAGATATGCACATAACACTCACATAAAGTGAGGTATACGTAATTTATTGTGAGAAATGCTGTAGGTACATAATATTGTTCATAGAGGTGTACATAACACTCACATTGAGTGGGACCTACAAAAAATAAAAATCAAGTAGACCCTACTCCATATGAGTGTTATGTACACCTCCATGTACATTTATTATGTACTTGTCGCATTTTTCTATTTTTTATTTTCGTTAAGTCCCCCTCAACGTGACGTTATGTACACCTTTATGTACAATATTAGATTTATTTTACCTCAACCAAAAAAAAAAATCCACTGGATAAAAACAAAAAAAAATATGAATAAAAATAAAACGGAAAATTCAACTTAAATCCCTAGTGCCCTTTTCAACTTCCAAATCAGTCCCCTCTCTAATATTTTTCCTCTGCACTCCCTGGCACTAATTTTCTCCTTCCACTTTACTCCCTATATATATAGTAATGATATTATTATTCATTTATTTTTATCTAAGAATCATAAAAAATTGAAAAAAAAAATATCAGATCTTCATCTCTCTCAATTCATCTTCGTTCTGAACTCCATCGCCGATTCAAATCTCTCTCTCTCAATTCATCATCTCTATTTCCTATCACTTATGTTTTCCCGGCGAAAGCACATACAAAACACTCACCGCTCCCCTTCTTCCGTCGGAGTTCCGCCGCCGGGCTCAACTCGCTTGCTCCCCGCCCGCCAGGACAGTTGCGTTTCAGAGATGCTCCGTCCATGTCACTCGCGGCGGATTTTGTCTCGGCCTGGCGCCCGAGCCCTATCTTGTGGTCAATGAAGCGAAGCGTGAGTTTTTCGGGCCCAGGATTTTGCGATTTCGGGCCTAGGTCGGGCGGCGCGGTGGTCAGGGAATCTGCGGATGAGGATGCCGGTGCGGCGGCGAGCCCTAAATCGATGGGCCTCCCGGATGCTTTGGTGCTGGGAACGCTATTCGTGCTTTGGTTCTTCATTGTTATTACAGATTGTTATTACGGGTACTATTCACTGTTATTACAAATTGTTATTACAAGCATGTGGATATAAATAAATCAAGATTCAGGTTTGGTTTGTGGGGTTTGATGCCCGACTTCACATTTGAATGGTTTTGTGTTGTAATGTTGTTAGTTTTGTTCCACTGCTGCTATTCATTGTAATTACATATTGTTAGCTATGTAGCTTACTAACTTTCTAAACACCCATGGAGAAAATACTGAAAATCATTGTAATTACATATTGTTAGCTATGTAGCTGATTAACTTTCTAAACACTCGTGGAGAAAATACTGAAAACAGGATTTGAAATTAAGGTGCAAGAGAAAGTGTTTGCAACAAACTGAAAAGAATCAATTCATTTGCTCGACATTTTAGCAATTGCAAACCTACTAGGAGAGTTCGGTTTTCGGTTTATTGTCGGCAAAAAATGAAATCGAACCGTGTTTTCGGTAACCGAAAATCGGTTACCGACTTTTAATCGGTTCGGTTTTGGTTTCGCATTTTAGTATTACCGAATATATCAGTCCGGTGTCGATTTTCTCTTATCGGTTCGATATCGCCCTAGATATAGTTACTGCACTTGAATTTGAGCTAAGATTTCAACTCTATTTTTAATCCTTTGGTGAAATTCACTTGCTAAGGTTCTGAATTGATTGTTAACAAGAATGACAGGGTTTTGTTTCCTTCTTGTTTCGGTTATAGGATTCTCAAAGATTTTCATTACTCGGTACATTCACGTAGGAAATGCAATTTTTGTGCCGTTGCTCATGCATTGAGATATTCCTTAGCTTTGGCATTTAGGATTGTCGGGCGAAGGCCTGTTTTATACCCTACCCGATGAATACCCAATCGTGAAAGACTTACAGTATCCGGCTATTTTGATAGAGTGATTGTGAAATGTGTTTCGTTTCTTGATATTTTATTAAAAAAGGGTAAAATAATGTTTATGTATCTGTAGATACCTTAAGTTATGGTGGGTTTGTATTTTTTAAATTCAAACTTTGTTTCTAATTAATTATAATATTTATTTTTTGGGTTCTTACCATATTTTCAGTATTTGTAGGGTTTTTGCTGTATTTTCAGATTCTTATCATGTTCCCGAGTATTTGTATGTTTTTCTTAAACCATTCATGAACCAAAGAATATTGCAATTTAAAAGTCAATGGAAAAAAAAAAAATTAAGTCGTGAATTGTTCAAGAACTGTAAAAGCTACTAGTATAATTGCAATTACAATAAATAAAATAAAAACTTTATAAATGTGCAAATAAATGAGATTTGAAGGTAATGTTTAATTTTTGTCTTTAAGATTAGATAATACTCATTAAATGGTGTTTTAGTACCAAATATCGGGTTTTCAGTACCAACTGCAACGAAAATAAAAAAAAAAACACCAAATTTCAATCTTAAATGATGCTTATAGGACTCGAACATTAGTTTTTATGAGATATAAAATGTGTTTTAACTCCAAATTTTATTTATATGTTTTAAGTACCACTATTTCTCAACCAAATCATGCGTGAACGATCCACGTGACATGATAGACATGGAGGATTAATAAAATCACGATTACTAAGAAGGTACCAATATTGACAGAAATAGTACCCCTTCTTCTTCTGCATAGTACCTGGTTTTAATCAATTTGTATCTTTTTTTGGTCAACAAAAATGGATTACTTCAATTTTGGTCAACATTTTCAAAAAATAGTACAAGACCTAGAGTAAGATAGTACCAGCTTTTAGTGTTTTAGTACCAGATATTGGGTCTTTTGTACCAACTCCGACGAACATAAAAAACAACAAATTTTGGTCTAAAATGATGTTTATATGACACATAATCACTCTCACATTAGTTTCTATGAGATTCAAAATATTTTAAAGTGAGTTTAATCGCAAATTGGTCATGAACTCGACACAATAATGAGAAAACACAACTAATACACTTTATTTTATTGAATGACACGCTTCATCTCATAGAATCATCATACATGACTACTCCAAACTCTACCTATATGTT